CACAGTGTACATCACTACACTATCACACACACACATGTACATCACTACACATCACACACACACAGTGTACATCACTACACTATCACACACACACACAGTGTACATCACTACACTATCACACACACACACAGTGTACATCACTACACTATCACACACACCACAAACACACACACACCACACACACGAGTGTACATCACTACACTATCACACACACGAGTGTACATCACTACACTATCACACACACACAGTGTACATCACTACACCATCACACACACGAGTGTGCATCACTACACTAACACACACACGAGTGTACATCACTACACTAACACACACAGTGTACATCACTACACTATCACACACACACACACGAGTGTACATCACTACACCATCACACACACACGAGTGTACATCACTACACTATCACACACACACGAGTGTACATCACTACACCATCACACACACACGAGTGTACATCACTACACTATCACACACACACACGAGTGTACATCACTACACTATCACACACACACACGAGTGTACATCACTACACTAACACACACACGAGTGTACATCACTACACTATCACACACACACGAGTGTACATCACTACACTATCTCACACACACGAGTGTACATCACTACACTATCACACACACACGAGTGTACATCACTACACTATCACACCCATCTCGTGTGCCGTGCCGGCCTTCACAGGTGCTCACCAACACCACTTGCCCCTACAGCCTGTGAAAGGTGACACACGGGAGATGTTTGTGTTTGTTGTACACACACAGAGACGCTGCGGCGGTGTTGATATATATCCACGCTGCTGCTGCTGTGATCCACTGCCTCCCACGGGCACTACCGCACAGTGGGGCTGAACGATTAATCGATTTCAAATCGAAGTCGCAATTTGAAACAATGCGATTAGCAAATCGCAAAGGCTGCGATTTTTGAAAAGTCCTATTACTTTCTTATTGGAATGTTTTATTTTTTATTATTAAACTTTATTGATTTAACTTAACAATTAATTCTAGATTTGAAGCTTTCGTGACTGCAAGGATTCATACTCTTAGGTTGTTTCGGTAAAGTCACGTAGGTAAAAATAAATAAATAAAATAATAATATGAAAATAACTCAATTAAATCACGACGTTTCGAAGGCAACACAAGTCTCCTTCTTCACGTGGGACCGTCACAGCTAAATTTACTGTATCACTTATTATTGTATATTATTATTTACCTACGTGACTTTACCGAAAAAACTTAACAATTGTTCTATGTTTCATCGTTCTATTTCAATTAAAATTTTTAACAAATACATGTTGAAAGCAATTAATATCTTTTAAGTTTTCAGCCTTGCATTAGAATACATAGAGCAGTTCACATTTTGATGGTATCATCACATGTTTTACATCTATTACACAGTGAATATTGAACTGAAGCTCGACTTTAAAAAATGTAGATGGCGGGGCAGACAAACGCACCGCTGTACTGTACTTCTGTGCTCTCGCCAGCCGCGCCGCCTGCCTTCACCAACACGCGGTGACCGGCGTGGTGAAGTATGGTCAAATATCCCCCGCGAACCCCACGGTGTAGGGAGGCCCTCATCCAGCAGTGGATTAACAAAGTGCCCGTTACATGTCATGACACCGACAGCTACGCATTACAACGTTGTATAACAATGCTCATTATGAATTGCTCTATTGTAGTGTACGTGCGTGTTAGTGCACGAGTGCTGATGTTATAGTGGTGCTGTTGTTAACACGGCTACTGTGATTATCGTTACTGCAGACGGACGTCACCGACTCGGACCCAAACTCGGCCAACAACACCTCCAGATTTCCTCGGACCTCAGGACGGTGACGCGGACCGCTGTCTCCCAGGGTCGCCCGCATCACCCGCACCGCTTTGATCGCTATGCCAAGCCCTGTGCTCCGAGAGCTTCTCGTCGGGTCAGCACTACTGGGAGGTGGACGTGGGGGGTGCGGGGTACTGTCAGGTTGGAGTCGCGTACGGGACGATCGCACGGAAAGGGAGTGGTGAAGAGTGCGAGCTGGGAGAAAACGACTCATCCTGGGTTTTATATGAAGACAACAACAGCTGCGACGTGTGTCATGGTGGTGTCTGGACCTCAGTGCCGGTGAGGGATCCTCCCCGGAGAGTCGGGTGTCACCTGCACTGGGAGGCGGGGCTGCTGTCGTTTTACCGCGCCGACTCCATGGAGCTGCTGCACTCCGTCCACCACTCGTTTAGTCAACCGCTCTACCCCGCACTGTATGGGGTGATGATGATTGACTCAGTGAGGATTCTGGATCTGAGTCGTGCGTCCTGAGAGCACGGAGTGTGAGCAGCGCACAACGCACAGACTCACGCACACAAAGACACAGATCCCCCGTGTAGCCGTCACAGACTGCTGGGGCAAGTGCTGTTAGCGAGCACCTATGGGGCCGTCCATGAATGAAGTCACGCACTTGGGGGGGGGGGGTGAGAAATGTGACGTCACGTCAAAATGCGCAACTTTAAATAAATATAGACAACACGTTCTACTTAGTTAAATAGACTTTTAATAAATGTTTTATCCTACAACATCAGAGTGCAGCGCCACATTAAATATGCACTACAATGACAATAGCTTAAAGCTAATTGACGCATTTTTTTGGGGGGGGGGGGCAGAGCTTTGTGACGTCATATTTGAGGGGGGGGTCTGACTTGTGACGCCGTGTGACGAAGGGGGGGGGGGTCAAAAATCGCGTGACGTCATTTATGGACGGCCCCTATGAAGGCCGGCACAGCACACTAGGGGGTAAGTGGCCAACACCACGCCCAGCCGCCTTTGTCTCCCCAGTGATGATGTTTACACACCTGTACCAGGACTCTTTTTTTCAGGCTGAGTCGACCTAGTGGGAGGATCATGACCGGTTTACCAACACCATTGATAGCGATTATATGAATTAGTCATGGGTCTCCCCTAGGTCGACTCAGCCTCAAATGACTACCTGGTGCGATGAATAAACATTACCCCTGGGGATACAAAGGCGGGTCTCTGCCAGGCTGGCCTTCATAGGTGAAACTCACTAACAGCACTTAACTCAACATTATTTTAAAGCAATACGGGGATCTTTGTTTTCGGGTAAGTGGTTTGGTGTGTATGCCTTTGTGTGTCTTTGTTATTGTTTTTGTGTCTTTGTTACTGTGTCTGTGTATGCCTTTGTGTGTTTTTGTTATTGTGTTTGTGTCTTTGTTACTGTGTCTGTGCGTGTCTTTGTGTTGTGTATTTCTGGGCGTGGTGCTGCCTTCCCACTCCCTCGTGTGTCACAGTACCGACCTTCATAGGTGCTACTCGCTACTAACAGCACTTGCCCAACAGTATGTTAAGGCTACACAGGGTATCTTTGCCTTTAGCGTATAGAGAGCCATGTGCGTAGTGTGGGGTGGAGCGGTGGTGCAGTGGTTAGCGCACTGGTGGGAGGGCGGGGGGAGCCAAGCTCTCTCTGACGTCATCGTCCCTCGCGCGCGTGGCGCTCAACGCCGAGAGGGCGGAGCTCCACAGCGGGCGTGGCTGGGAAACACGCGTACACGTGACGCTGTGGGGTGACGCGCGCCGTCTCCTCTCGTGGTCACTCGCTCGTTGGGCGATAACCCCGGGAGTTGGGACATGGGATGGCATCACTAGGGGGGACTACTCGTGGTGTATGAGCTGGGCCTAAATATGTTGTTCTAACTCGGGGTTGAGTGACTTCTCCACCCACGCAAAGACAGTGTTATTTTACAGGACATAGAGAGAGAGAAGCACAGTAGGAGGAGAGATCTTTCACCAACAATATTATTCATATTTAAAGTTTGTTTCATTATTAGTATTGTAATATCTGCCT